TAATAATAATGTTCTTTTGTTGGTTTAATAAATCTGATCTTTGTATCCAGATGAGATTTGGCAGAAACTGTTTATTTTGGATCACTTTAGTGCTCGTGCCTTTTCTTAAACACGATGTTAGCAGACCCTCACAGTTCTGTCTCACCTGAAGCSTGGTCATGTCTGGTAAACCCACACCTGTGCAGGTAGAGTCTGCTGCTTTGTCTGGTTTTAGTCCTTGGTTTGTCTCCTTCCCTGTCGCTGCAGCACTGCCTCGGTGGTCCTGGTGGTCCATGTCTGCTTTCAGCCGGCAGACSCTCAGTCTCCAGTCTGAACCTTCAGGCTGAGCAGCAGTGTCTTCCAGAGAGGCTCCCTCCATGAGCCCTGAGCAGATAAACACAGAGCTGTTGTTTTCATGACTCACTCTCAGATTAATCATCTCAACAAGCAGGTTCAACAGCAGAATTAAGCCCACTCTTATTCAGCTGGATGCATTCCGCCATGTTTCTCTGTGCTTGGACAACTTTAAAGGATGTCAAACTGCTCAAGTTGTTTCAAATCTTTTTGATGGAACCACTGCAGAGTTAACATTTTTACAGGAAAACTGAATTTAATCTGAAGAGAAACAGAATTACTAATGAAAAAGGAAGAAGAACTGAACTGAACAAACAATCCCTGTGTCAGTAGAGATTTTACTAGCTTGTATTTTTACAGCTTATTGACAGTAAAAGCTTTAATAGAGCCACATTTGAATTTGAGGAAGCATAATAAATTCTCTCAGGTATAATACTTAGTGGCAGAAATGCTTCAAATGTTTAAGCTGACTTTAATTATTTCTGAGGATGAAAGGATAATTTTATTATTAAATCATAGGATATTTATTCATTTGACACACAGTAAAGAGTAATTGAGTTTTTTTTTGTGCTTCAAGTGACTCTGCTGATGTGTCTGAGTGGGAGAMGAGCAGAACTGTAGAGTTAATGTGCAGAAACAGGTAAATCAGCAGCTTTATCTATTAAATGTATTTGTCCGGATGACCATGTGTTTCTCAACATCACAAACTCTGTCATGATCCAGTTTTAATTCAACTGACCAGTCTATGATAGACATGATATGGATCAATATGATCAATGATCATTTTGCCTTGTTACACTGTAGATTTCTGTAAATTCACAGTGGTATTTTTACAGTATCTTACAGTATTTCACAATAACAGTAAAATACTGTGAAATAACTACACATACTGTTAATGTAGTTAATCAGAATCAGTTTTATTGCCATTGTCAGTGAACGTTCACAGACTAGGAACTTGCATTTAAAAACACCCATTCTTTTTACCCACACATAACCAACATGGGGGGGGACGGCTGATCAGGTCTTGCACAACATGGTCACGTTACCTTTTGCAGCTTGAAATACACAATAGGATAGATAATTTTTAAAAAAGATGCTCTGATCATAAACAGAGAATCATATGCTCAAAAAATCCACTCACTAGATCAAGGCAGCTGAGGAGGGGAGGAGCCTGGGGATCAAACACATGGTACGGTGGGCGGGATTCAGTTAAATTAGTAGATTAGGCAGTAACAGTAAATAACTGTATATTTAACAGCATAATACAGTTTTTTTTTCAAAATGTGAAAAAAAA